GATAACACTTTAGCAAATACAAATCCCGACTTTTGAATTACAATTTAAATGGAAATGTATGATTTAAGTTCAGACCTATAAACAGGTCTTAAGTGTCAATGCAATCTAAATTCAACAAGACCAATAATGGATTTTTAGAAAGATTACTCACCTGGAACAAGATTAAGACACCACTAATACCTATTTAATTAAAGAAAAGGCAAAAATCCCTCACACCCGGAGATAAATGACTGAATTAGAAGGCAGAGCATGTTCACCGAACAACAACGCTTTCCTGTGCTCACAACGACTCACTATCAGGATTTCATTATCAATTCTAAGACCCGGCTCAAAATTAAATATTTTTTGACCTTCACGCTGAGTCAAAACAATTAACTATGGCACTGATTTATTTGATTTTGTGAGAAACTAGCAGCTTATTGAGGCTCCCATCACCAAATATCTGTACCGGCAGACCCGCGCTTTTGTCAGTCTTCAACAAATGTCCTAATTAACTAGTCTAGTCTGAAAAGTAAAATGGAAATGGAAAAGTTCCCATTCCATGACCGTTTGCATGGAATAAAAAAAAAAATCACTGTAGTCCACAAAGATATGCAGCAGTTGATTAGTAATTGATCAATAACACAAAAAGTGTTTGACGTGTTTGCAACTGTGAGTGTGACTTTGGTTTACATTTGTTTGGTCGACCGACATTTACAAGACAAGGCAGCAGAAGGAGAACTACCATCGACTGATAAAACAAGATGCTGAGGTAAATACAATCGTTCAAATGGAGGGAGCAAAATACTTCTTTCATAAGCGCAAAGCAGAAAAGCACACAAAAATGAGCTTCTTTTGTGATGTGTGGTTGAAAAGCACTGGGCAGGCAAAAGACATTGCTGCCGGTGAAAGCGCTATGGTTACCGGTAGCACTGAACAAAACCCTAACACCCTGTTCTATCCTGTGTTTCACTTCCTGCTGTTGGTCATGAACGCTGAAATGTAAAATGCGTTTTAAGCAACATCTATCCTCTGAGAGAGGCCGTGATGTATAAATGCTCCACAAAAAAGAAGAAGAAAAAAACCCCCCACACGCTTCAAGTAGACCTTGGGGTAGAAGCACTGCTCAGAAACATTAAGGGAATACTTACATCACACATCAGATCTTGATGGGTGAAATATTCAAGTTGAAAATCTTTCCTGGCGTGCACTGTCATTTTTACTTTTTTAGATCAAAATGATGGGACAGCGATCAGTGGAAACCAAACTCCCTTTGAAGCCTGGATTCAAACCCACACCAAAAATAAATTAAATGTTCTCTTAATTTGTTTTTTGAGAAGCAGATTTTGCTTTTGCTAAAACGTTTGTGTAGTATTTAGAATATGACAAACTATGCTGAATGGTCTTTCCCTATACAACCCTCCCATTCACCTGGGCTTGGGGACCCACATTAGGGGTCCACTACCGCTAAGAATGAGTTTGCGCCTCCTTCTGATCCCAAACAGGAGGCCTTCTGTGCATAAGTCAAATGTGTTAGCCACTACAGCATGGAGCCACATGAGTAAACTATTGATGTTTCTCACATGACGTCAAGCGCACATTGCCTGAGATTTGTCTCCCACACTGGGAGTAACACAGTCACCTGTTGCTAGGGTGACAAGTGTATTCCCCAACTGGTTGACAGCGGTTCCTCAGGGTTGCTGGTGCAATGCAACCTGCAAATGGAGACTGGAGAATGGTTTCCCTTCAAAGTAAAAGTTGTGCCAGTCATGTGGTTGGGTTCGGTCACAGAAAAAACTACGTGCTACAGACACTCACACGTTACCTGAATTATTTTTATATTTAGATTTCCCATTTCTGCAGTAGTTCGCTAAAATTAGGTTACGATGAAAAACATTTTTGATTCACATTATCATGTACTTTAAGTAACAATTTTAGATTTCACTTCTCTGTAACTCCCATGAAAACACAAAACACCAGCAAAGTGTTTGTCCGCCATCTCTGTGGCTCTTACCTTTAACCCCACTGATTTCTACAGAAAATGCACAAATTCCACATGCATGATATTTTTGGTACATCTGTGATTTCTCTAACAGGCTGGTCAGTGCAGATTTAAACTTCACTCAAACAAACGTACCGGGTGGTTGTTGTGGGATATTTCCAGGTTTGAATTGATGTGCATTCTGTGCGCTAATGAGCATTTACTGTGTCTGTGGTATCGACTGTGCAGCGTGTATGTGTGTGGTAATGACAGAAGTGTCACCATGTGCAATTGTGTGACTTAGTGATGTATTTTTAATAGTCTGTGGAAAACAATGAATGCTCTGTGGCGAAAACATAAGGTCTCTAGCATTTAAGATAGCATTTCCTTTAGTGGGATCAGTTGTTTGGTCTTTTTGTGAGGTTTGTTAACATGAAAAATGCAGCATATCATCCAATCCTCAAATGACATATTTTGTTGAGTTATGTCTACAGTTATGCATGTAATGAAAGTTCCTCCAGTTATGAACAGGATGACTAGCTGTTCGCAATTATCCGTAGTTTCTGTTCCAATTCTAATTTTTTTCTCATGCTGTTTTTGAAAGTTGTTTCATTTTCTTTGTGCCTTGCGTTGCCCCGGTCTGTCTCTCACTGCTCTGTGTCAAATCTAGTTCTTTCTTTCAGTGTAGTCTTTCATTTCATTTGATTCCTGCTTTATTTTGAAGGTTAGTTCCTCTTGTGGCTTTCTCTTTCTTTTTTACGTCCTTTCTTTGTTCAACCTTGTTATTGTCACGATTGACTTCACCTGTACCTTGATACATGCATGGTTTCTTTCAGTCTTTGTGTGCCTGCCTAGTGTTCCTGGATTGTATTGCTTTTAGATGTGGTTTAAAAATTGGACAAACTTGTGTTATAGTACATTGTTTTTATTATTGTTTCTGTAAGTAACAATAGGACTCCTTCCCTTTACCTTCATGTCCCCAGCGCTGAAGTTTCCTTCACAGTTTCATCCTCTTTCTACGGTATACACTCTAGTTATGCTCCATCTTTTTCCACAGGAAATCAATTATAGTAAGGACATGTTTTCATGACAGTGCACGATTACACTGAAGATGGGGCAAACTTTAAATCTCTTGACTTTTGACCTTTTTGATTGTAGCAGATGTGCATTTATATGGCTCCAAATGATTACGCTCATTTTGGCTCTGACGGGTGCAATTAGCACTGGGCTTATTAGAGGAGCGAGTCAGTTCAGACCCTGTCTTGTGTCAAAATCACAGTCAAATTATGCGTAAAACTAATTACCATCAAAAGGTCATGACCTTTACTGGAGGAAAAAATATTGCTGTTAGGTGCTGAAACACAACTTATACCTGCACTGTGTGCATCTGACTAGGAGTCTGCAGGAGGACCTCACTCATATCCTTTACTTCCCTTGAATTTCTATAAAGAATTGCATGACACTCTAAAGTAATACCAGTTGCCCTTTAAATTATTCGCTTGAACCTTTACCATTCAATCATGCAGTGGAGTTAATTAAGCTATACCAAGAGTAATAAAGAAGATAGATGACATTCGGTCATACACGCACACGCCGACTCTGTGACAACAACTGCAGGTTGGTAAGGTCAGAGTCCGACAATTGATGGAACTGTCATCCTATCATAGTGGAAATTCACCAGCAGAATCAGATCACGGATTGACCTCCTGCTGGTCCAAGGAACTAAACAAATGGCCTGAGGCACATTGGTGGCCTTGTCCCCAAACACCAAACCTCAAAATCTAATCTGAGCTAGTGATCACTCTTTTGCCTTTAATGTCATGATTTACTCCTGTCAAATAACTGGCACATAAAGTAGGCACTTATTGACTCAGTCCTGCTAGAAATATGAGGTCCAGAGGCTTGTCAGTTAGACTCATCAAGATCCATCAAACAATCTGTCGTCCTCCTGGTCGGAAATCAGTATGATAGGGCCATTAAAAAAAACATTAATCTGCAAAAGTGATGGTGCTGACTTTGCATTTCTTCATGAGTGGGTGTGCTGTTTTTGTTCTCTGAAGTAACGGAAAGTAAAGTTTCATCAGCTAACCCTTGGTGCTCCTTAATGGCTACTTTCAGCTGCTCTGCGTTTCCGAAGAGGCTATAAAACTTTGTGACAGGCCTGTGATACAGTTGAGTATCACTCGATGAAGTTCACATCTAACCAATGACAGTGATACTGGGGTGAGTGAGTGAGCATATCCTGAACTTTTCTGTTGCTAAGCTGTTTTTGCCACTGTTTTCCTTAGCTCATGTTAGCTAGAAGTTTACTGGAAATTTACTTTGCTTTGATGTGGAAGAAACCTAACCTTTTCAGATTAAGGAAATTTGTAAATAATCTCATATGAAGTTTAACGAACTGTTTACCAGAGGGTAAATGTGACTTCTAGGACACGCAAGTGTAGCATTAGCTGCCATAATTTTTAGCTAACAACTATGTACTGTTATCTAGGTTTGTATGAGATGGTCTGTTGTCTAATGTCTGATCCACATTACTAACTCTGTCAATATTACAAATAAATAAGCACATTTATGCTAATGTTGTTGGGCTATAGAGGGTTAAAAGAGATTGAATGGTCACTTAGCTAATAAGCCATTAGCATAAAACCAATGTTAATGCTCAAACTTGGCTAAGAAGTTTAGTTGAGTCTGCAGAACGTACAACCAAGACCCGAACCTTCCACTTCATCACCGTGCCTGTACTCCAAGACACCTCAGAGGGAAACCTTGATCTTTTTCCTTCACTGCAGTGAGTTTAGCGCTTGCTGTTTGCCTACTGTGCAGCCATTTATAGAGTAAACGCCAGTCAACGCACAAATAGCACCTCAGAGATAACTTTCTCCATGTTAAACATGTCATGAAGAGCAGCCCACTATGTTATCCTTGTTTGTGACTGACATGTTTTTCTCTTTCTCCCTCTATTTTTACTTTTTTATTTCTCCAATGGAAGCCAAGAAGGCTCAAATGCTCGCCTAAAGAAAATAGAAAAAAATTAACTCACATGCGAAGGTTAGACTGGCCTCTCGGCTAACGATGGTCCCGAAAGAGTTGGAGGCGAGGCACTGATACGTTCCAGCATCTTGGTCTTTGTTCAGATGGCTGATTCTGAGGTTGCCCCCAGAAAGGCTGTAGTGAGATCCAGTTTTGGGATTTATTTCCGTGCCGTTCAGTCTCCATCTAAAAAAGAGAGAGAGAAAAATGAACATGTAAATTTAACAAATTAAACACTGTTCAGTGTAGACTGGGGCAATGGAAGTACGCCAGAGCACAAGGAGAAGAAGCAGAACGTGACTTGTATATTTGATTGTTTTTCAACAAGAGAGAAATGAAAGGTGGAGAGGACCCAGAAATCATGCCCTCCAGCTTAGTGTTAATCTAAGCAGCAGTGAACCACTATGGTGCCAAGGACTTGACTCCCTGAGAATAGATAGCATTTCAGGCCATCCATCTTGCCAGACCCCAGTCAGACCGCATAAAAATCCTGCTTAATCATTATGGTACAACAATTAAAACGATGCCTGCAAGCTCGCCTTCACACTCGTACATTCTAGACCCTTCCACTTGATTATCATTGGTGTTAGGAGTGGGTGACTGGGCGGGACCAACGAAGGGTATAATTCACTTAAAATGGCAACAGAGTCTCCAATCTCTCCACACAGATGCACCTTATTAAAGAAACACAGGTGGGAGAAAAATCAGTCATTTCAGAAAAATGGCTTCAAGCCATAACTCGCTTCAACCAAGGCAAGAAAACCTAAAACAGACAGAGAAACGAGCTCATACATTGCCATTTGTTATTGATGTTGTATAACTATCTCAGCTGTAAAAAGGTACAGCACAGATAAACAAGCGTGAAAAGAAGATTTAATATGGCATTGGATAATGGACTACCCGGATCTGATTTGGGCTTTGAGGGGTTTTGTAGCTGATTATTTCTTTGAGGAGTTTTAAAATTTCTTTTTCTTTGATTTAAAAAGAAAAAGTTTCTCTGAATGATTTCCCATTCAGCTGGAAAAGCAGAGCATTGTTTTCCGCTGAAAAAAGAAAGCAGCTTTGATGTGAAAAAAGGGGCTTTGCTAAAGCCCCTTTTGTACAAGAGACAGAAGTTGCACAAAGCTGTTTGGGGGTACTGTCTTAACTTTCCTTGTTATGCCAATTTGGAGCCTTTGAGGCATAATAACCTTTCTAAGAAAGCACTGATAGTGGCGTTGTGGAATTTTCTTGCTGTATTATGTCTTTTGTAGCATAATGTGGCTTATAGAATACACTCGTTTGCCTTCAGTGGCAGGGAAATCCAACTTATGTGGTCCTC